CTAGTCAGCTTCTCCATCAGCCTCAGTCTAATGACTGGCATGAAATGAGCAATCTACTGAATGGTGATTGATGTGTATCAGTTTTAAACCAAGAGTCTGCAATTTTTTTTTTTTTTTTGGTATGGCAGCCACCAGTCACAGGTGACTAACATTTATTTTTAATCAACTTTTATTGGTATACTTTAGATATAATGATCACGGTCACCATAGGGAATTTGTATCCATACATGATATAATTTCCTTTTTTCCCCATTCCCCTACCCCTCCTTCAACATTCCTCCCCTCCCCTGTGCATTTTTCTTTAAAGGAAGATAGTATTTTAGGTGCTGCACACTCTACCATCTAAGTTACAACCATTCAACTCTGCCGTAGTTATACAGGAAATACGTACTTGAGTACATATGATTGTGTTCCAGCAAAACTTTATTTATAAAAACAGATGAAAGGCCAGTTGGTCACAGGCCTGTAGTTCATTGATTGCTGTAAGTCACCTAACTTTTTTTTTTTAATGTTTTGAAACAGAGTCCGCCGTGTAGTCCAGACTAGTCTTGAACTCACTATGTAACCCAGAATGACCTCCAACTTGGTGATACCCCTGTCTCTTAATATCCTATCAATAAAGGGGAATGAAACTCACAACCTACTAGATGTTCAGTACGAGTTTGTGTTTCTAAAATTGAAGAATGAATTTTAGGAACAATGGAGGTTAAGGTTATAATTTACTTACTGAGAAAAAGAAAGCTGTCCAAGAGAGAAGCAGAGAGAGAAGACTGTCTTTTCTAGGGTCTTTGATAAAGCAAAACAATAAAGTAAGGTAGGTCCATCATGGGCGGGGGGAGCTCACAAGATAGTTAGGCATGAGGTGGGACAGAACTATGGCCAACCAGTAAGATTACGAGTATAATTGCTCAGGAAAGATTGATTAAATTGGGATCTAATTAGGAAAGCAACTCACGTAGCAAGGGGAAACAGGGCCTTTGCTCCTAGAGGGGTTAGATTAGTAGCACACGGCTTCCTCAAAGTGATTGAGGTACCTATTTAGAAATATCAATCCCTAATGTTTATACTTAGGGTGTAGTTGCATTTGGTTTTTTTTTTTTTTTTTTGGGTATCTGGCTCACAGCAGAGGCCTGTCTCCTACAAAGTTACAAGATATCTAGTCTCCTGCACTAGCTCCTTCAAGGACCTATCCCTGTCTGACTACAATATTTCAAACTAACTCAGCTGCCTATAACACTAGGACTATAAGAATGGGACAATGTATTTGTGCCAGATATTCTATTGCTTGAGGTCTTTCTTGATATCCTCTGGATTAGATGAATTCCCCAATGAGAATCTTTCTCATATGTGCTGATTCATGTATCCTGCTCTCCCTCAAAATGGTTTTTCCTTGACAAAAGCCTTATTTAGCTTCCAAGAGTGTTTACCGAAGTAAAGTAACTGCTACTAGTTAATATGCCAAGAAAAGGTATAAGGGGCTTTTCTTTGGCACACTTTATCAGACTATTTTCTTTTTAAAAATTTTTTTTTATTTGAAAGAGATTAAGACAAATGAGGACAGAACAAAGCAGATCAGAACTATGTAAGCAACACAGTACTTCACCACAAGACAACCTGATATTAACTACCATATTAGCTACCAATATTAGCTACCATAATGCCTCTTTCTTTGAAATAGTTGAGCATACCTTCACGTACAATAGTATCAGACCTAACAAAATACTATTAAACCGTTCAAGAGAATGAAAGTATTACAGGGCATTCAGAACCAAATACTAGAAAATAAACAATGGCTATTATCTAATTTTCCATAAAAATTTTGTTTATACTATCACACATATTAAAATCCAATAAGAACAGCATGATAGGGGGCTGGGGATTTAGCTCATCGGCATAAGCACCTGCCTTGCAAGCAGACGGTTGTGAGTTCGGTCCCCGGTACCGATAAAAACGAAAAAGACAAAAAAAAAAAAAAAAAAAAAAAAAAAAAAGAACAGCATGATAGAATCCACAGAAACAGAAGAACAAAAGCATGGTAGGACTTCAAAGCAAGATGATATTAAATCAGCAATGGCTGTCATAACGTCTTGTTTTCTTCAAAATAACTGTTCATACCATCATGCATAATAAAATCAAACGAAACAGAATAAAACTATTCCAACTAATGAAAACATTGTAAGGCTTCAAAGCAATGTAATGGGAAATCATGATTACCATAAAATCTTATGTACTCTTACCATTTCTTACACTAGGGAGACTATATGGGATTTATACATGTGAGTTTGATTTATTTCGCTTATGAGTATGGTCTCAAGTTGCATCCATTTATTAATAAATATCTCAATGAGGTCACTATTTATAGCTGAGTAGTACTCCATTGTATAAAAATACCACATCTTTTTTATCCATTCCTCAGTTGATGGACACTTAGGTTATTTCCAAGATCTGGTTATTACAAATTGTGCTGCTATAAACATGGATGCACATATATCACTGTGGTATGATGTTTTCAGTTCTTCTGGGAATATGCCTAAAAGTGGAATAGCTGGGTCAAATGGGACTTCCAATCAAGCTTTTTGAGGAATCTCCAGACTGACCTCCACAGTGGTTGCACCAGTCTACACTCCCACCGACAGTGCAGGAGAGTTCCTTTTTCCCCCACAGCATTTGTTGTTGGTAGTTTCTTGATCCTGGCTATTCTTTCTGGAGATGGAGCTCAGTGTTGTTTTAATTTGCATTTCTCTAATGACTGATGAACATTTTTTCATGTATTTATTTGCCATTTGTATTTCTTCATCTGAGAACTGTGTATTCATCTCAGATGTCCATTTTTGGACTGGGTCTTTGAATTTTGGGGGTCTGATTATTTTCAACTCAAGCCAAATTTATTAAGAGGTCTCTTTGTCCTTGGTTCTCATACTTTAGCATTAGAATTCCCTGGGGGCTTGTTAAAGCACCTAAGTGGTGGGTTCAACTACAGGAGCTACTGACTTTGTAGGTTTGAGGAGAATTTCTCTACCAAAGTATCTCATGTCTGTTTTCAAAGTGACTGTTCTGAGGAATCAAGCAGTGAATTTTCAAACTTTAATGTACATAGAAAGCTCCCAAAATCTTGTTAAAATGTGTATTAATTCAATAGATCTGGGTTGAGGGTTGAGGTAGTGGGGATAAGAGTACTGATTTTTGGGTGAATACACTTGGAGTTGTAAGCAGCTGAGCATTGCAATCTTTCTTTCTAGCCTCTAGGCCTTTAGGTATATTTGTTTATCATAATGCTAAGTATCGTTTAGGTGCTTAATCCTTGAAGGTCTACTTTCAGTTTCTCATATTTTTGTTCTTCATGTGGCAAGGTCTTGCTATGTAGTGCAGGCTGACCTTGATTCATTATGTAGTCTAGGCTCCTCTTGAACTCTCAGCAATCTTTCTGCCTCAGGCTTTTAAATACTGGGATGACAAGTGTGTGCCACCATGATGTGCCCCACTCCTGGTTTCAGCTTTTCTTCTTTTCTCATGATTTCTTTAATCTATGCAACGGCAAGCATGGTTAAAAGCATAGATTGAATATGAGACTAAGACTTCCTTCCATTTCACTCTGCATATGAGGTGGTCCTCATGGTGACTTACCAGGCCCTACAATGTTAGTCTTCTTTTATCCCCTGGTATCATCTCCTACTTTGGTCTTGTCACTGTCTCCTTGCTGATTCTTGAACCCACCAAACATACTTTATTGCAATTTTTTTTTTGAGACAAGGTCTCATTGTGTAGTTTATACTGGCCTTAAAACTCACTGTATAGACCAGGCTGGTCTCAAACCCATGGCAATCCTCCTGCCTCAGCCTCTTGAGTGCTGAGATTATATGCATGAGCTACCACACCCAGTTCACATACTTCATCTCAGATTTTGGTCCTTGGTATTCCCTCTACTGGAAAAATTCTTCCTTCAGGGTAACTGCTTGGCCTTCTTCCTAACTTCCTTCAGACCTGGCTCATATGTCACTCAATAAGGCTTTTTCCTAGCATCCTTTTTTTTTTCTCTTTATCATTTCATTCTCTGATTATTTTTCTCAGACTGTATGCTCCATAAAGACATTTTCCTTTGTTCACAATCTTTAGCAATAGAGAATCCCTAGAACACAGTCAGGTGCTAAATAAATATTTGAATGAATAGATAATAGACTTTGCAGCTAACTGGAATATCCCAAGGCCACAGGCTATTTTTCCTTCCCTGAGGATGCACTGTTGCCAGCAAGTATTACTCACTTCATTCCCCAGGAAACAGTGGGTTTGGTAGAAGCCTTTCTAAATCCCTTTGTCATGCAATTGAAATTACAAACTCATTATTTACTGTTGCCATATAGTATGTTGCGGAATGTTCTACTGGTTATATTCACTTTAATACATCTTCCTCTAGCACTTGGTTTATCATTTTCTGTTCCCTGTCCAAACCCACCCGCATCCCAAGTCTGGAACAATTCTCTTACTCAAAAATTTTTGTTTTGTATTTTATTAAACTTCCTCTCTGAAGTTTTACACAAATTAAAACAAAAGAGAAGGGCTAGTAATTCATAATAGGACTGCTGAACATACTTCTTAGGGTAGCTTAAAAATGATTTTTAATGCGAGCCCGGAGTTATAAGACTTCAAAAGCCACCAACCATGGTCATATCCTATTACGTTCTACTGAGAACGCCTCGGTTGCTGGGTGATTGTTTTATGGGTAAAGGCCAAGATGTCCTTTTTCAGAAGACCTTTTAGGGTGAGGGAGTTTGCTCGCTCTGCATACGAAGGAATTCTAGAAGCTGGGATCGCACCACCCACCACAGGAACCCTTACTCGCAGAAACCTCTCTCCCCCCTCCCCCGCCCCCCACCAAGTAAGGGATCTCCACCGGCAGTAGCTAGCTCCAGAGCCAGCTGCTTGACACCTATTGTCCCCATTTGGACGTCAAACAATTTTGCCAGAAGGACCCCGACTTCGACTTAGCTCATAACTAAAGGTACCATTGCTGCCGCTTCCAAAGACCATCGAGACTTGTGGCGAGGGGTTGCACCTCCCGGCGCGGGGGCTCAGGGCAGGCCGTGGGAGGCCGCCGGTGCGCCATTTCCGGCAGGCGTTCGCGCCGGGCAGCCCGAGCGACTCGAAGACCCAGTCGCCGGCGCTCCCGCCCCCCCCCCCCCCCCGCGCCCGGAGGGCTGGCTGGCTGGCTAAGTCCCTCCCGCTGCCGGCTTTCGCCTCACTAGGAGCGGCTCTCTGTGCAGCGGGGACAGGGTGCCCACGGAGCACACGACCCTGCCCGGAACGCAGCGCCACCCTTGCCCCCTCGCGATCTCCAGCGGCTCCGCGCGTGCACGGTGAGCGCCAACCGGGACCAAGGCGCCAGAAAGGGAAGAGGGCAGCTGCACCCGAGTGTCCTTTACCTTCTGATCGTCTGGAGTATCGCGCGGGGCTCGCTCAAGTCTTCCCCACCCCCCCCACCCCGGTCATTTCAATGCCCTTCTCCACCCGTGGACCCTGACATCTCGTTCCCCTTCCTCCCCTCTCCCCTTGGAGGGCGACTTGTCCCTCCCATCCCGGTGGGGATCGTTGCCCTGGCCGTTGGCGGCCGCTTTGCAAGGCTCCGCCCCCGGCACGAGCTCGGTGCCCCGGGGCGGGCTGGCTGGGCCCCGGCCGCGCGGGGGAGGGGACGGGAGGGCGGGGTAGGGGCCGGGCGCCCCGCTGGCGGGTCGCGCGCGCCCGCGTTCTCTTCCTGGCGGCGGCGGCGCGCGCGCGCCCCTCCTCCCCCCATCACTCGCGCAGGCTCCCGCCGCTGCGCGTTTTGTCCCGCGTCTCGCCCCGTCCGTCTCTTGACTGGCCGCTCTTGTCCTTCCTCCCGCTTTTTCTTCTTTCTCCTCGGTCTCAAAGATGCCCTCGGCCACCAGCCACAGTGGAAGCGGCAGCAAGTCGTCCGGACCGCCACCGCCGTCGGGGCCCTCCGGGAGTGAGGCGGGGGCCGGGGCAGCTGCGCCGGCTCCTCAGCACCCAGCATCCGGCACCGGTGCGGTTCAGACGGAGGCCATGAAGCAGATTCTCGGCGTGATAGACAAGAAACTTCGGAATCTGGAGAAGAAAAAGGTGCCTGGAGTTGGGAGGGGAGGGCTTGCGACGCTCCGCTTCGCTGGGTCCTGCGTCCCCGTGGCGGACAGGAGGTTGGTGCCCGGAAAGCGGGCTCCAGGGAGGCGCCTGTCACCTGACCCGACCAGCGCTGCCCCAGGCCTCTGTGACTCTCTTGTAGCGGGCCTGGCCTTAAGAGCTGTACGAGTAGATGTCCCAGGGTGGGGGTCTGTCGCCGGGACGCTAGGTCATCGAGGCCTCGTGCCTGTGACGGCAGGACTTGATGAAGTCCCGGGGCAGGGGGCTCGGGGAATCAACTGACTGCTTCGTGGAGTCGGGGTGGCCTGTGTCCTCCAGTCGTGGGACTAGCCGCTCGGTTACCGTGTACTCGAGGCCTGTCCCCTTTTTTACCTTGAAGAAGAGGTGTATTGAGAGTCTCACTAAAGTAGGATCGCCCCCGCCAGGCCCATTCCGAGTGGGTCTTTGCTTGCTGCCCCCCCTCCGATGGGGTCCCCTATGTTTCCCTCTTTGTTTCAATTGTCTAGGTGTGCCTGAGAGCCTCAGGCTGAGTCTGGTCGCAAGATGATTTTCTGCAGCGACTTTTTGCCCCTGGGGACTGAAGAGGGGCAGGGGGACAGCGGCGATCGAGGCTTGTGGGAAGCCGGGTCCGGGTTGGACGGGAGGCGGCTCTAGTCTGCGGGCACATGGAGAGCGTGTCTAACATGGCGGCGGCTGCAGGAGAGGGAAGCGCCGTACAGGAGCTGCATTGTGAGCACAAAGCGAAAGCAGCGGGGGAGGGCAGAGACCAGCGCCCGCCGACCGCCCTCCCTCGACCCCCCACCCCCGGAAAAACTGAGCCACACCCACTTTTTTGGGCTAGAATGTTTAGCCATACTGAGTCTTACGGTGGAGATGTAGGTTCAAGTCGGCCTTTTGTTTTCTGCTTTCAGCGCAGGACAGTGTACAACTCTGTTTAGATAGGGGCGGCTTGTGTGTGGTCAGAAGGGTCTGAGCGAATAATTCAAACCTAGGGTGAAGACCGAGAGAAAGGGAGAAAACAACTGATTCGTATCAGAAGCAGACAATTGACTTATTATGTAGGCTAACGCGTTTTTCCTTAAAAAAGTAAAATGCAACTTTTCTTTGACAACTTCTGATTGCCCACTTCTAGTATAACATTACAGCACCTTGGGTTTTGAAGAAATCATATTAAATATTTGTTTTGCCAGCCCCTGATAGTGTTGTTTCAGATTTTGAGATAGTAACAATTTGGTTAAAATTTGGGCTGTGGGAAATGAATGGGAAAAAATTGGTGATATTTAAGTCTTAATGATTTTAATTATTTACTAAATTTATTTAACATTTTGTAGAATTTTAGAACAAGCATTTAGCCTTCATACCTTTTGTCTCATTTCCTTCAATATTGAAGGTTGGAGATTTTACTTGAATTTCCTGGATTTTATTTGAAGTTGACAGATGCCTCAGTCTTGAGATTTCTGTCCCCCCCCCACTAACCCTTTGTTTGATTTACAAGTGTGCTTTACTAGAAGTAATGGAGTAATAGACATTAACAAACTAATGAAAGTACATAAAGCATAAAATAAGCACATTGAAGTGTGGAATAGAGTAAGCTAGTCTTAAAACCAGTATCTTCTGAGCCTGCACATGTATTGCAATTTTTGCAACTCGAAATTGAGACTTAAGTATCTTAAAATACTCATAGCGTATTAAATAAGTACTGTCAATCTGTGATTGGTTTACTTGTCAGAATTTTGGAATAGGAATCAGCATAACTTTGTGATGTAATATTTTATAGACATATTATAGTGTCTAAAAGACCAGTTTTCTGAAAGTGATCATATAAAAAGTCAGCTGATGGTTAGTAGCCAATTTATGAGGTGACACATTTTGGTGTTCATTTGTATGTGGGGAAAAAAATTTTAGAGAGGTAAGTCCCATGAGAGGACTTGAACTATAAATTTGTCAGTGGTGTATATATATGTATTACTAGCTATACAGCAGTGTCCTTTCTCCTTAAATTAGAGGAGAAAGTAGTGTAATTATTTATTACTACTAAGTTTATAGAGTAGGCTAGTAGATACTTTAAAGTTGTCTTGTAATAATGGAGATTTAACTGAAAAAATAAATAGTATGTTTTTCAGTCTCAGTGTTTTGGGTGCTCATTAGAGAAAAGGCCAACTTACACTTTGGTGAGATTTTTTGATAAGCATATACTGAACCACCTACTTCTTAAATAGTAGGACTGATGTGCCTTTAAAAACTACGTGTTTTACTTTTTGGGAAATTCAAGGCATTTGGATTGTCCTCAAATTTGTGTGTGTGTATGTGTGGAACTGGATTATTAATTGCAGGAGAGAATTTAATAACTGATTCACTTTTCAATAGAAGTGAACATTTCTTTTTTTGTTTTCCTTTTTTTGGTAGAGGGGATCAAACTCACAACCTGGCACCTGCGCTAAATCCCTGGTCCATGAGTGAGCATTCTTGTTTGTTCTTTTTAAGACTGGATTTTGCTATGTAGCCCAGACTGGCCTTGAACTCTAGAGTGTTGGAATTACAGGTGTGCTCCTAAAGGAGCATTTCTAATGCATTTAAATAGGATTTGCTTCACAAATCAGTTTTGAGTTGTTCTTAGTAACCTTTCTGGAGTAAAGATAATCTTCAACTGAATTTCTGTAAAGTGAATTTAGCAATTTATGTGTGAACTGTATTTTATTCTTAACCTGTTAACATTGGAACTTTTTGGAACAAAATACTCTTTTCCACTGGATTCTAAACCCAAGTATGCCAACATAAATTACTAATAGATGTGCAATACCACTTTAAAACATAATTGTAGACTGCATGTGGTCCCTTGGCCCTAATAACAATACTCAGGAGGTTGAGGCATGAGGATACCCTCAAGTTCCAGGCCAACCTGGGCTGCAACAGTGAGTTCAAACCCAGTCTTAGCTGCACAGTGAGACCCTGTCTCAGGAAAACAAAACAGAACCATAGTTGTGTTTCATTTAAAGAACAAAGTTATTGTTCTTTTTTTAATAACTTGAGCCATTAGAGGAAGGCAGCATATCTATTCAGTGAGACTGTGCTTAACATTGATGAAATGTTCCATTGTACAGTGCAATTAGATGAATTGGTGTTTTGAAATTTGGGCTAGTAAAAAGTATATGAATGTTTGGCAAAGAGAAATACAGCTATGAATAATAAAATGTAAAACATTTGCAAATCTTTGCTTAAAGTACAAATAATATTGAAATAAGTGATTTTACTACCTAGCTTTCCTATCAGTTCACTTACGCATGACTTGTGCCTTAGGCTTTGTAAAATGGTGGGTTTTTTTTTGAGATTGACTATGGAGTTTAGGCTGGCCTTGAACTCTCAACAGTCCTGCCTTGGCCTCCCAAGTGCTGGGATTATAGGCATGTGCCACCATGCCCTCAAGATGGTGTTCTGAAATCAACTCAGTTAAAAAAAAAAAGGAAATCTACTCAGTTTTAACTGAGGAGAGCTCACTTGGTACTGTAAGATGTAATCAGTTTTGATGTAGAGGATGTTTTAATAATGACATTTAAAATTGTTATACACTTGGTAAATGTAATAGATTTAGACTCTAGTGACTTCAATAGTGAAAGATTAACCAGTGTTCTATTGCTTAGAAAAACAAAACACCCTGGCAGCTTTGTACTCAATGTGTAACCAAAACCGATAGCCAAAAGTTTTACAGCACTTTCTAAAGACTTGTATATACTTTATCTTTGCACTTAATATTAATCATAAAAGATGCAAATTGTGATTGAAGATAACATTTTTCTAGAGTATTGTACTGTGCCTATACTTAAAACTTTGATGTAGCTGTTATACAGAATTTCTGTGAAGTGCTTTTTAAAAAAATCTATTCAAAGATAGAAAAAGAAGAAAAACTATAACAAAATTGCAAAGCACATCCATGAGGGCAACAATGGTACATACATTGTGTAGTCATCCCCAAATTAATGA